GTACAGCAGTATAAGTACAGTACAACAGTATAAGTACAGTACAATACAGTAGTATAAGTATAGTACAACAGTATAAGTACAGTACAATACAGCAGTATAAGTACTGTACAGTACAGCAGTGTAAGTACTGTACAGTACAGTAGTATAAGTACAGTACAGCAGTATAAGTACTGTACAGTACTACACAGTACAGCAGTATAAGTACTGGACAGAACAGTACAGCAGTATAAGTACTGTACAGTACAGTAGTATGAGTACAGTACAGCAGTATAAGTACTGTACAGTACTATACAGTACAGCAGTATAAGTACTGGACAGAACAGTACAACAGTATAAGTACTGTACAGTACAGTACAGCAGTATGAGTACAGTACAGCAGTATAGGTACAGTACAGAACAGCAGTACTGTATGTTACTGTACAGTACAGCAGTGTAAGTAATGTACAGTACAGTACAGCAGTATAAGTACTGTACAGTACTATACAGTACAGCGGTATAAGTACTGTACAGTACTATACAGTACAGCAGTGTAAGTAATGTACAGTACAGCGGTATAAGTACTGTACAGTACTATACAGTACAGCAGTATAAGTACAGTACAGAACAGCAGTATAAGTACTGTACGTTACTGTACAGTACAGTAAGGTAAGTAATGTACAGTACAGCAGTATAAGTACTGTACAGTACTATACAGTACAGCAGTGTAAGTAATGTACAGTACAGTACAGCAGTATAAGTACTGTACAGTACAGCAGTGTAAGTAATGTACAGTACAGTACAGCGGTATAAGTACTGTACAGTACTATACAGTACAGCATTGTAAGTAATGTACAGTACAGTATGCCTCAAGGTCACACATCAAAGGTTACCTTACAAAGCCTACCTAAGTTTGTACACATCTTTCTGTCCACTAATCATTCTGTAAGAAACAATGCATTAAGGAGAGGGGAGGCATCACTAGCTGGGAATGCTGGAGACACAGTATTTGACTGATTTTTTATGAAGAAACACTAGTACAGTACAGTATTGAAACATAAATACACACACATATACAGTACGGTATATATAACACAATACAGTAGAGGAGCATGCATGGCCTCCCTGTGTGCCATTACTGCCTGTACAGCTGAGAAGGCTCTTCCATTATGGTTTGATTTTTTCTTACATCAACACTACAAAAAAATTTAACACATTGTGATCATCAAATAATTTGATCATAAAAATTAAGCAAGTTGCAATAATTCAGAATTAAATGGGCAAATTTGTGATAAATGAGGACTGATTGTACAGTAGTACTCTTCAGTAATCCTTCGTTTAACATGTTGTGACAAACAAGGGCTGCCTGTAGAGTACAGTCGATCATAATCACCTGAAGTGGGCAGGACATAAAGGATGAGGGAAACTGTGGGGTAAAAACATGACCAAAAACTCATCTTATGACACTAAAATCAAGTCTGCATGATTTGTACACAAAGTGATTTAATATTTACCAGAAATATTCCACCAAAAAATCTGGCCTGTTTGCATGTGTTTTCGTCTGGTTGTAAACAAATATATTCTGATTCCGGTCTCACTAAAATTAACAACAAAATGACGGAGTACAGTGTAGTGGATACTCTCCCCTACAACTGTCGCTGACCAGCCGATCACCGCACAGACAGCTAGGCTTTGCAGAGAAACTCGCGGGGGGTCGGCTTCCAGCGACGCTTACTTCCGGTGGACTCGTATATAAGCTCACAGCTACGCCGTGAAGGGGATTCTACTGAGCGCACTCAAACCAACAAGACCTCCTCTCAACAAGCTCCTCACCACACAGCAACTCCCTGGCACTGCATTGTACATATAATATATTATCCCCCGTATATAGAAAACACTATAGCTGAGTTTCTCTTCTCACCTCCATCCTGGTGTGATCCAACATCACGTTAGCCCCACAACAGTCTTATAATGGGGGTTTGGCTACCTTAATAAATAGGCATGATTGTCTATTGTTTGTTTTTTCTTTGCATTCTATATCCAGAGTCGTGGCTCTATGACCTGCAAACATCCCATAATTTTTTCTTTCCGTGCAATAGATTTAAGAACCTATTCTATTTATAAATGATGAGGATCATGTTGTGGGAATCATAGCCCATATTATGAGTTTCAATTCTTTTTCAATACCTTACAATTAGCATTGGTTAATAAATAAACTATGTTTGTATGCTGTACTTATTGTTCTTCCTCAAGGAGGACTATCCCACCGAGGGAGAAACAATACCGTATTGTTTTTTTAATGGCGTCCTCATTGTGTTGTGGTCGGTATCGTATCACAAGTTATCTGTGCTTGTGGAGGTTGAAGACCGTCTCCAAGAGTTCATATGTCAACATGGACTAGTTGACAGGATGTGCAAGTGTTCAAAATGTGGCAGAGAACCGACAATGAAGAAGAAATATGTCTTTCAGTGCAACAACCGATCGTACTCTCACGTCCACAAGACAGTCAAATCACACCATGCCCCTTCAAGATACTGTAGTTTCATTGGTACCAAATACAATATCAAAGTAACTTCTTCGTGCCTAATAAGCCGGAGGGTTCAGGGGGCGAAGTTAGGCAAGATTAGGTAGGTTTCTCGAGTTAGGTTCGTTTGGTCAGGTTCTGTGCATTCTTGTTTCCATTTCCATGTTCACTGTTCAGTGTCATGGAAATAGTAACTCCAGAAATTCTGGTTTAATTCCTTAATTTATTTCTGGTGCTAACCATCTCCACCTTTACCTTTGTTTGTTATCTAATACCATTGTTTTCTGTTTTGGTTCATTTCTGCACAAATCGCTTATATTTTTTCTTTGCTGTGCCCTATGTTTCAGAAACTCTTCCATGTACTATATTCAGGATAAGAATCATATGGCTGAGATCCAGACCCATAACTGAGGTTTGGATACCAGTCCAATAACTTATCTTTAAATTAAGAGTTTCATTGCATTCCATTATTAAGTGTTGGTTGGTATTGTTATTGTACCTCCCGAAGGAGACGGTCACTCATCCTGTGTGTCATCCAAGCGCTGTGCACTGCTTGTTCCCTTAGTTATAGGAAGCTATTAGTCCTTGTTGAGGATCAAGTGTGAGTGAAGGACTTGTTGATATGTGATCATGGTCTTGTTAGAAGGACCTGCATGTGTGGCAGAGGCATCACACTTAATGAACATTGTGTGTTTCAGTGCGGTACAACGAATTACCCAAAAGTACCCAAAAGTACCCATAAGTACCCAAAAGTATATTAAATCGGGGTAAAATCTTAACGAATATATGTTTTACATCAATAAAACCTGATTAATAATGTTTTCATTGAAATGTAGTCAAAATAATGAAATAATAAACAGCAAAAAACGCTAAATTCCAAAGAGTCACCTATCCAAAATGGAGATATAATTACCGATGTTTCTGTTACTTTGGGGTATTTAACATAGCCGTAGGATTTACTTTTCGTTAGGTTAGGTTAGGTTAGCGAAGTGCATCACGATGGATCTGAGTTATCTCCCTTGTTCACGAACTCTTTGGAATTTAGCGTTCGCCAAAACTGAAAGTTTTTCGCTGTTTATTATTTCATCTTACAAATTATCTTTACAAAATTACACTAAAATATTATTAAACATGTTTTGTGTATGTATAACAGATATTCATTAAGATTTTACCCGTATTTGCTCTACTTTTGGGTAATTCGTGGCTCCCTTTCAACGTAACACCAGGAAGTATTATTACGAGTGGCTGTCACCTCACGTTAGGTTCTGTATTATTTTATCATCATCATCTAAACAACACCACTGAAATTTTTGGTCCATAAGCTCCTTCTAGTTTTAGCCATTTGCTCCATCTTTACCTCATGAACTTTTTGGCCTTCTCATGAGGTAAGAAATCATTTATCTTCTAAGGACAAATTTCTTCAAGTTGTTGGCCAAGGTTACAGCCACACTACCATACACTTTGTGGCCAACTTGTGATCACCAACAAGAAGCATCGGTCTACCGCAGACGGCTGCTGCCAGTCTGAACCCTGCGCCTCGTTCTGTCTTACACGGTGGTGACAAAATGTACACAAGTACTGTTATGTATTACATATGAGGACCCCTGACGTACACTGTCTCCCTGAGTGATAGTGTACACTGAGTGATGTACAGTGAGTGGTGTACATTTAGAAGTGTACAGAGTGGTAGACACAAGTGATGGTGCATACTGAATAGTGTACAGTGATAATGAACATTACATTAGTACTAATTTACAGTGAATGATGGTGATGTACATTAATATTGGTGTACAATAGTGCTGATGCACACCTGTAATGTACAAAGATGGGTCCGACTAATTACCCAAATGTAGCCGCAATGAAGTCAAATAATGGTCCAACAAGAATAAATCGGTCTGCCAATCACTTCTCGATTATTATTTGGTGTCATAAAGTCACAAAAAATTGGTAAACTTAATTTAATCTGAGTTATTAGATCACGTGCATGTACCTAACCTAACCTAACCTAACCTAACACAACTCAGATTAAATTAAGTTTACCAATTTTTTGTGACTTTATGACACCAAATAATAATCGAGAAGTGATTGGCAGACCGATTTATTCTTGTTGGACCATTATTTGACTTCATTGCGGCTACATTTGGGTAATTAGTTGGACCGTACAGTGAGTGATGGTGAGTGTACAGTGAGTGATGATGGTGTACATTAGGTATGGTGTACATTAGTGATGGTGTATATTAGTACCGGTGTACACTAATGGTGATGTACACTAGTAATGTACAACAGGACATAAACAATATTTGCTTCAGACAAGTGAGGATGAAGGAGGTAGAGTGAAGTGAGGTGAAGTGAGATGAGTGAAGAGATGAGTGAGGAGAGGAGAGGAGAGGAGGGAAATGCTAAAAGAGTGAGAAGAGAGACGAGTGAGGTGAGGCCAACACGACATAAGGTGACTATAGGTACAACAGTATAGCTGCGGCCAGTATTAATGCTATATTACCTCTCATTAAGCTGGTCCTCAGTGCCTGGCAGTGGATGGATGACACAGTGCAACGACGTCATCTTATTCCACTATAATCTTAACCGATAAGATCTATAACAAGGAAGGAAATGGCGGGTGAAACATGTGTGTGTGTGTGTTAGGAAGCAGCGGCCGCCATGTTGTGCTGCCTCCACCACCAGGAACATTACCACACCAACCTTCAATAACCTCTTAACTATTACTTATTACCACACCAACCTTCAATAACCTCTTAACAATTACTTATTAATCCTACAAAATAACTTATGCTTCTGGGAATTTATTTATATCCTTTATATTCATATTTTTTGAGGTATTTTAAAATATTCAATTTGTTGAGTGAATAAATATATTTTAATCAGGAAAAATACTCTCTTTATTTAATAATAATGTATATAGTAATAACCTGTAATAATTAACAATAATATTTATAGGTGTCGCCACTGCTTTAGAGATAAGCTTTTCCTTCATCATAAATGTTTAACTTAATAAAACAATTCACTTCCTACACATTGATTTACCACCTAAGGTCCCATTACATACACCAACATATTTTAATAATATTTTTTTATAAGAGTAGCAATCCTGAATTTGACGAACATGTACTAAGATAACATTTAAACACATATAGGTATTAGTTATTAAAGTCTACAGTACTATATAACCATTGTTGTTTCCTGGGGTTATATCTAAAGGGGTCTGTTCCTTGTAATGCTCTAAAGGAGGGAGGTGGTTCCCTGCCTGCTGGTCCCCGAGATATACTACATGATAGTAACTCATTTAATGGAACATGTCCAAAGGAAGGCTACCAGACTGGTGGTGCCTGCGCTACGGACGACCTTGCCTAATATTAACCTTAAACAACCTTAACCTTTAGTAACATTAACCTAACCTTACCTTTAACTTGATATTTAACCAGCAATAACATTAAAAGAATATAAAGTTAACCTAACATAACCTTACCCTAACTTTAATTTACAGTTTTACGTAACACTGTATAACGTTAACATGATATAACCTAAACCTAACATAACCTTCACCTAAATATAACTTTACTTGACATGACCTCAACTTTTACTTTTTTCTTTTATCCTCTTCACCACTGATCGCCTTGTTAGCCGCTTGGGCGATCGGTCACGTCTCTGTCACGCACTGTTGGCAAGTACTGGGCATGCACTGGCTCCTGAATGTACCTGAACCCGCTCCAGTGTTGGTCAAGTCTTGTCTTGAAAGAGCTCACACTCGGTGCCGTCACAACACTTTCTGGTAGATTGTTCCAAGATTTACAACCATCACTCCGAAAAGGTTTGCCCTCACAGTTTTCTGGACTTGCGGCTTCTTCAATTTTGAGCTGTGACCCCTTGTGGGGCGAGCGTCTGCCAGCTCCAAGTAAGGACACTCAACTGAGTAGTGCCCCCTGAGATGCTTATACACCTCAACTAGGTCGCCCTTGCCCGTCTGTAGTATAAGCTAGGCAAGTTCAGGCGCTCCAATCTCTCAGGGTAGCTGAGGTGCCGAAGTGCAGGCACCAGTCTGGTGGCCCTCCTTTGAACATTTTCAACCAACTGACAGTCCCAAGTATATCTCGGGGACCAGATGGGGTGACAGTACTCCAGATGGGGAAGCACTTCACTCCTGAAGATCGTTACGAGGGACGGACCGTCTAGATATCTGAACGACCTTCTTATCGGACCCAATAATTTATTTGCCTGATTTACCTTCTTCTCGCAATGGCCCGAGAACTTCAGCTCATTGTCAACATACACACCTAGGTCCTTCTCACATACAGTCTCAACTAATGCAGTTTCGTCATCCCGTTGGGACATATGATACCGTTGGTACGCCCCAGGTGCATCCTCTTACACTTCGTGACATTGAATCTCAGCAGCCATTTCTTCGACCATTCTTGGAACCCACAGAGGTCCTTCTGCAGCTCTTCACAGTCCGCTTGGTTCTTAATTTCCCGAAATAACTTGGCGCCATCCGCAAACATTTGTATGGAGGAGTGTACAACGTCAGGCATGTCATTTATGAAACAAACAAACAACAGCGGGCCCAATACACTGCCCTGTGGTACCCCACTTGTGACAGGTACAGATGACGATTTCGTGCCATTAATCACCACACACTGCTTGCGGTCATATAGAAAGTCTTCTATTGTAGTGGATTTCTCCCCTACAAACGCTGTTTGTCGCTGCGTAGCCGACCCCACGAATTCCACAGTGTATGCCTCGTGGTCTAGGTCAACCAGCGCCGCCATACATCACGGAGCGGGGGTCAACTACTAAGCCACGCCTACCCCCCGCTATTTAAGACCTGACCTCGTGGTGACCTGTCTCTTTCTACCTACACCAACCAGCCAGCAACACCTCCTCCTCCTCCGCCTGCCTGGCGGCCCTCGCTCCCGCCGGCGAGCATGGCGACCCACAAGCTGGTCCTCCTCTGAGCATCCTCACCAACCAGCTCTCTCTACATCACGCTTGTAACCATGCTGCCTTCCCAGCACCAAGCTGCATTGTACATCCAATACAACATGTATACAGAGAGCACATTGTGAGTTTCCTTTCTCCATCCCATCCTGAGTGTGAACCAAACAATCTCATCCCCACACTATCCACGCTAGGACATTTCCCCGAATTCCGTACCCTTCCAGTTTGATTTTCAGCTTTTCATGGGGTACACTGTCGAAAGCCTTGGTAAAATCTAGGTAAATATTGTCGATATTACCACCCCGTTCCAGAATATGGGTCCAAATATCCAATACCTTGAGCAATTGTGTCAAACAGGAGCGCCCCGGCATAAAACCGCGTTGGCAATCTTTTACAATGTTGTTTCGTAGTAGATGTTCCATTGCGGCATCTCTGATAATACTCTCAAGTACTTTACATATTATGCTGGTCAGGCTCACGGTCTATAGTTGTTCGTGGAGTGACCAATTATACTGTTTCTTCTCTGTAAATATTGTAAGTACTTTTACTTTTTTAATTTTACTTTTATCCTCTTCACCACTGATCGGCTCGTCGTTAGCCACTCGGGCGATCGGTCGCGTCTCTGTTACACACTGTTGACATGTACAGGACATGCACCGGCTCCTAAATGTATCTGAACTTGCTCCAGTGTTGGTCAAGTCTGGTCTTGAAAGAGCTCACACTCGGTGCCGTCACAACACTCTCTGGCAGATTGTTCTAAGAGTTCACAACTCTCACTCCGAAAAAGTTACCCCTCACAGTTTTTTGGACTTGCGGCTTCTTCAACCTTGAGCTGTGACTCCTTGTGGGGGGGGCGTCCGCCAGCTCCAGGTATGGACAATGCCTATGGCCTGGCACCTGACATTATTAGGGACCTGCCACGCTTTACCATAAACAGATAAATTGTACCGTGAATTTCCTCCCCCTCCACACACTCATCATTTTGTACATTATTAGGGACCTGCCACACTTTGCCATAAACAGATAAATTGTACCGGAAATCCCCACACACACACACTCATCATTCTGTCACTTTATGTAACTTGCTGACAAAACCCATGACCCTCCAGTCTTTTACGCCCTTAATGCATGAGTCATAAAGGCAAGCGTGAACTCCGCATGCTTCCCAGATGGGCGCTGTAAACGCTTCTGCGCTTCACCTAGCACAGGATGTAAGGGGGTGCCCAATAAACTAGCCCCCTCGGGGACAATCTAAAAAAATAATCTATGGACACTCGACTGAGTAGTATCCTTTGAGATGTTTATACACTTCAATTAGCTCCCCCCCCCCTCTTGTCCGTCTGCAGCATGAAAGAGCTCAAAATTTTTCGGAGTGAGAATTGTGAACTCGTGGAACAATCTGCCAGATAATGCTGTGACGGCACGGAGTGTGAGTTGTTTTAAGACCAGCAAGTTCAGATACATTCAGGAGCCATTGCATGCTCATTTCTTTGCCAACAGGCGTGGGTTAGGTCAAACAATGGGCAGGACAGGAAGATGTGTGCAAGAGCCAGGAACCAAGCAGTCAGAGTGTAGAAGGGCTGAAAAGGAGTTCCAGAGGCTGGTTGCAAGTGAGGTCAGGACAAACCCAAAGGCGTTTTACCGCGATGCAAAGTTGAAATTAAAAACGTGAGTAGGAGTACTGTATCAGACCTGAGGCTTGAAGATGGTAGTTACACAGATTCTGACCTGGACAAAGCTGAGGCATTGAACAGCTTCTTTTCCTCGGTGTTCAGAAAAGTGGATGCGATTAACCTTCCTGCGTTCAAGGACAGACGGTTTGACACAGCACTGACTCACATTGTGTTCACAGAAGAGGTTATAAGAAATAAACTGTCAAAGATAAAGGTCCATAAGATCCGGCCCTGACATGGTGAATCCTAGAGTGCTAAGAGAGTTGTGCAATGAGCTTGCCGCGCCCCTGAAGATCCTGTTCTGTAAATGCCTGGATAAACAAAGGGTCCCCAGTGATTGGAAAATGGCAGGTTCAGATACATTCAGGAGCCGGTGCATGCCCAGTACTTGCCAACAGTGTGTATCAAAGACGTGACCGATCGCCCAAGCGGCTAACGAGCTGATCAGTGGTGAAGAGGATAAAAGTAAAAAAGTAAAAGTATGACCAGACTTGAACCAAGGTATTCAGATTTTACCTTGACTTGACCAACACTGATCTGAGTAGCCTGCATGCCTTTAATTTCTATTTTACCTAACGGAAGAAAGCTTTGGGTTTGACTTGACCTTGTTTGCAATCCGCCTCTGGAACTTCTTTTCAGCCATTCTACACTTTTAACTGCTTAGTTCCCGGACCCAGTAAAGTAAAATGAATATTTTCCTTTTACTTCGCCACTGATTGGCTAGTTAGCGAAAAGGGTAAAATTAAAAGTACACCAAAGTAACAGGTACATGTGGTTAAAAAATCAATACTACCACTGGTACAACACGGACAAAGGTACTACTGTAGTGGATTCCTCCCCTACAAACGCTTGTCGCTGAGTAGCCGACCCCGCGAATTCCCCAGTGTATGCCTCGTGGTCTAGGTCAACCAGCGCCGCCTTACATGACGGAGGTCAACTATTAAGCCACGCCTACCTCCACTATATAAGACCTGACCTCGTGGTGACCCATACGACACTGAAGGCAGGATGCTTGGATTAAAACTAACAAAAAGAGGATATATAACATACTTA